CTTATTGATACTGTAGATCTGGACACTTCTCTGTCATTTGGTTCATGGTCGTTTATCTCATGCTTGAGATCAGTGGCAGTCTTCCTTCTGTCCCGAAGGCTGCATAACGAAGTTAATTAACAGCAGTATCATTGAGTTTAGGTTTTCTGCTCCTTCTTTTTCTATTTTCAAATGTACATGTCTCGGCATCACGATCTAGGGTGTACTTGACAGTGTTTGGGGAGTATTTCATGTCTGCATCAATTTGTAGAGAGTCCAACCAGCACCACGTAAAGCTTTTATGCAAACTCTCTGCTCTGCTGACAATTCTCTACGCTTTTTGGGCCGTGGCATGACAAAAAAATTTAATGTATAGTGTTAGACACTGTTTTTATCAAGGTTTATTTGTGGGGTGCTATTAAATTGATTTCTTCTAGCATGTACCGGTACCATATGCTAGCTCTTTTATAGCTTCTTTCTATATGGTTAAGACACTGCATGGGGTACCATGACAGTTATTTCAGATCCTAAGTTTGATCAGTATGTTCATTCAAGCAGAAACCTTGTGATATGCCCTTAGTACAAATATATGGGAATTCTAAAGAATGTTAAATATTCTCACCCTGGCTCATTCACTTGTCCACAGGGATCAGCGAAGCATTACCATAGTGTTGAAATTTACATTTTGTAATGGAATAGAAGAATTAGCCCCATAAAATGGAAAGAATGACAAGATATTATCTTGTCCTAACACTTTTGCACAGTACTGTATCTTAGAGACATAAAATATCTGTGCGTAATCCGTAATATTATTTTTTAAGTTTACATTTTAAATAAATCGTATTTAAATATAAAATATTTTGTGAACACCTGAAACTTGCAAGAAAATAGGTGTAACGTGGTTTGGGCACAAATTGTTTTAGTGATGATTTATGTTTTTTTTCAGGTTCGGTTGTATAGTCATACAGAAATATTTGGTGGTTTTCCTGTATTCATTAACTAGTTTTATACACATTTAGTCTAACATGTTTGAAATATTTTGCACAAAATGTTGTACAGTTGCGTAATATCGAATGTTTAATGTGTTGTTTTGTTTCTCCTTCAGAATCATACTACTGCAGATTGAGGAGAAAAAATGGAAGGCTTAATACCCTGCTACTTTTCAACAACTGATGGTGAGCAATTCTAGTTGAGGAATCATGGGAAACAAGCTGAGTTGCTCGTGCGCCCCGTTGATTCGGAAAGCTTATCGATACGAAGACTCTCCTTGGCAGAACACAAAACGAAGAGATGGCCACTTGCTAAGGTACAGCGATTAGTATTATCTGAAAACATTCTAAAACGAAAGACATTAAAGATATTATGCACTCATTTACTTAGTTATTACTTCATTTTTTCTACTCTCATTAACACGTGTTGTATTTTGAGCACTTAAAGACAACCATATGTGAAAAGTTTCTTAGTATACCACTAGGAGGTTTAACTAATGAACATATCTGTTTATTTCTTTATTGAAACAGAGATATTTTGTGAATAAAAATTTACCGACAGGGCCTGTAACTCCAAAAGCTCTCGACAAGTTTAACAGAATGCTATGATTTTTTTAACATTTAAAATTGAAAGACCTTTAAGGTTAAGGCAAGTAAGATTCCTGGGATTTTTGTTTTGAGAACTCGTATCTCGCTCGGATTAGTTACTCTCGACGACAGAAAGAAGGAGATTTACTCCGATGAACAAAGCTGTTTTATGTAAAATGAATAAACAGACAATGAAATACGGTCTGTCTAGTATAGAGTATCTAAGATGAGATACATTGGGCGTTCACTACTGTTAAAATAAGTTGGGTAAAATTCGTTGCAGCTGTTTAGATTAAACTTTTCGTATGTTAGATATTCATTAAAATTCTGAAAAAGCTGAATAAGGAATTAATTCCTAAATTCCCATAAAAATAAGTATGAATGATCGGCACTTCTGTAATGTTTAAAATCAAATGAATAATCAAAATGAAACGTAAATATGAAATGCTACATTTTAATTATCTATTTGAAGCAATAAAAATGTAAGAAATTTCTACAAAGTTTCAAGAAAAATGTGCGAAAGTTAATATTCTTTTCTTTTACGTTGTAATTCTAACACTTACAATAATGGTGATGGGAATACCGCTGCAAAATGGAAGTATTCTACAAGATTATTCGAGTTGAAAGTGAGCTTAGAAGAATTACCATACAAAAACCAAACCTCTTGTATCTACGTTTTTTAAGAAGTGTATACAAAAGAAAGAACTGTATTAGTAAGGACAATCTTTAAATAATGTATTAAGTTATCTTAAAAATGAACAGCTTTTAGGTTTTTGTATTGTAGAATTGTAAGTACAATAGCCATCAGGAGCAAAACTTAAAGTTTACGATAAAACAGCTATATGCTGATAACCGTTATTAGATTCTTAAATACTCGTTCAGTGTGTGGAAGAATAGATTAAGTTGTTTAATGAGAAACCTATCAAGTGGCGAGGGTTAGCTGTACAACCAAGTGTGAACAAGAAGAAATGATATTTTTTTCTTATTGGCAAATCTCAGCCATCGCTCCTGTACGAGGTTAAAGAGGCTTAACATAACTGTATCGTGTAAATATATGCATTTGGGATTAGAATTTCACCCTGAAGGACTTATAGTAACTTACTAGACCAGAATTTGTTGGAACAGAAAAAAAAGGAATTGGATGCCACTTTTATAACTTACCTACTGTTAAAGTGTAGGACATGTTTGGCGGAATCATACCTCGAACCGTGGATCTGTTGCTACGAAGCCCGGCACGCTAATCATAAGGTCATGCCTATTGTATTATAGTTTTATATTATGTTTTCTTATAGTTGTCTGGAGTGAACATTGCTTAAATGATTGAAATTAGAGCTTTAATTCACTTTAAGACAATGAGATGGTAGAAAATAGTTACACCAGACCAGTTCCCGTGAGATTTATATAAAAAGAAAGATACGATATATCTGTCTGTCTGTCTGTAGTGACGGAAAATACTTACTGTAAACAAATTTACGGAGAAAGTTCCTATACTCGCCTAGAAATAAGTACTTCTTTATATTTCAATCGTTGTATTACACCACATGTTTAATACAAAAATATTCTTATTATTTTATGTGGGTCCACGTCATTAAGGGAAAAATTCCACGTGGGTGTAATAGTCTTTCCTTTTTCTCGTTTCTATCACAAACGTTGATATAAAAAGTTAATAAACATAATTGTTCCTGTCACAAATACAAATATAGTAAAGATCTGTATATTTAAACATAATTGTTCCTGTCATAGATATAGTAAATATCTATATCTTTAAATATAATTGTTCCTGTCATAGATGTAGTAAAGATCTATATCTTTAAACATAATTGTTCCTGTCACAAATATAGTAAAGATCTATATCTTTAAACATAATTGTTCCTGTCATAGATAAGTAGTAAAGATCTATATCTTTAAACATAATTGTTCCTGTCATAGATATAGTAAAGATCTATATCTTTAAACATAATTGTTCCTGTCATAGATATAGTAAAGATCTATATCTTTAAATATAATTGTTCCTGTCATGAATATAGTAAAGATCTATATCTTTAAACATAATTGTTCCTGTCATAGATATAGTAAAGATCTATATCTATAAATATAATTGTTCCTGTCATGAATATAGTAATAATCGACATTTTTAATGTTTTTATCTGGGCCAAAAGTTACACTGCAACAACGGTTAATTAACTTATCACTATTGAATGGTTGAATGTATAGAACATGGTTTTCAAAGGGAGAGTAAACAATCGATGGGTGAGAGTAGCTAGTCGATGGGTGGCAGTAGAAAATTAATTGGTGAGACTAGTTAATCGATTGGTGACAGTAGACAATAGATGGATGAGCTTACCACTCTTGAGTGCTTGAATATATATAGCAGAGTTTTCGAAGACAATCACTCGATAGGTGTGAGTAGACACTCGATAGTTAAGACTAGCTAATCGATGGCTAAGAATATACAATCAATGTACGAGAGTAGCTAATCAATCGGTGACAATAGACACTCGATGGTTGAACTTACCACTCTTGAGTGCTTGAATATATATAGCAGAGTTTTCGAAGACAATCACTCGATAGGTGTGAGTAGACACTCGATAGTTAAGACTAGCTAATCGATGGCTAAGAATATACAATCAATGCACGAGAGTAGCTAATCAATCGGTGACAATAGGTTGAACTTATCACTCTTGAATGTTTGAATATATATAGCATGATTTTAGAAGACAATCAATGGGTGGGTGTAGACAATTGATGGATAGAATAGACACTCGATGAGAGAAAGTAAATAATCGACGGATGGGAGTAGACAATCGATGGGAGAGAGTAAATAACTGATGGGTGGGAGTAAACAGTCGACGGTAGAGATTAAATAACTGATGGGTGGGAGTAAAAAGTCGACGGTAGAGAGTAAATAACTGATGGGTGGGAGTAAACAGTCGACGGTAGAGATTAAATAACTGATGGGTGGGAGTAAACAGTCGACGGTAGAGATTAAATAACTGATGGGTGGGAGTAAACAGTCGACGGTAGAGAGTAAATAACTGATGGGTGGGAGTAAACAGTCGATGGGAGAGAGTAAATAATCGACGGATGGCTGTAGACAGTCGACGGTAGAGAGTAAATAACTGATGGGTGGGAGTAAACAGTCGATGGGAGAGAGTAAATAATCGACGGATGGCTGTAGACAGTCGACGGTAGAGAGTAAATAACTGATGGGTGGGAGTAAACAGTCGATGGGAGAGAGTATACAGTCAAAGAGGTTTTAAGTCAATTTTCAAACAAGTATAATTGATTTACTATTTACTAAAATCTTATTATTCACTTTCTGTTTTGAACAAGTAATGAAATAGAAGTAAACTAATAATAATTTTGGTATCTTTCGCCTTTACTAAGAACAAAATCCCTTTTCTGGGGTTAAAAACCAGCTTGTGGATAGCTGTGTTCCTAACACTGCTGTAGACGCCAGCTTGTGGCTATATGTATTCCTATGACACCGCTGTAGACGTCAACTTCGTCAACATAATTACTGATTTAGGTAAGCATCAGCTTCTGGCTAACTAGATTTCCATGACACTGCTGTAGACATCAGCTTCCGGCTATCTGGATTCCTATTGCACTGTTGTAGAATCCAGGTTCTGGCATATAGGTTCCTGTGAGACTAATGTAGACGGTAGGTTCGGCTGTCTAGAATCCTGTGAAACTAATGTAGACGCCAGGTTTTGGTTGTTTGGGTTTCCGTTTACTCTGTTTTCGATATAAAGTTCTGGTTATCTGAGTTACCATTAGGCCCGGCATGGCCAGGTGGTTAGGGCGCATGACTCGCAATCTGAAGAGCAAAGGTTCGAATCCCCGTCCCACCAAACATGCTCGCCCTTTCAGCCGTGGGGGGGTATTATAATGTGACGATCAATCCCACTATTCGTTGGTAGAAAAGTAGCCCAAGAGTTGGCGGTTGGTGATGTTGACTAGTTGCCTTTCCTCTAGTCTTACACTGCTAAATTAGGGACACCTAACGTAGATAGCCCTCGTGTAGCGCTTTGCACGAAATTTAAAAAAACAAACAAACTGACACTGTTGCAAACACCAACTACTGTCTCTACGAGTTCCTATGATACTAATGTAGATACTGGCTTCTTTTTATCTGGATTTTTATTCCACTTTCTATTCATATTGGTTCCTTTGAAGCTGACTTTTTTCTTACAATCTAGGTTTCTGTAAAACTGAGGTCCCAATTGCTGACTGTCATGGATTCAAAAACACTGATAAATGTACTACTTACTGGGATTTTAGAATCTTGCTGCTAATGTAGGTACCGATTTGCTACCAACTAATGGCTTATTTGGGCACCAGCTGGAGTCTAATTCGATTCTAGTTATGTTGAACTATTAAACAACTGCTGAATATCTGGATTTCAAGGTAAATACCAGTTGTTATCTAACTGAGTTTCCATGATATCAACTATAGGGAAAGCGTGCTTCTGATTTGATTGTTATTATATTAATATAAGTACTAACTGCTAAATATATATTGGGTTTTACGAGACATATGTAAGTTCCATATAACGGGTATCTACTCTTCCGTGGTAGTAATACAAGTTTGTGTTATCTGAGGTTTTTTCACACTGTTGTGGTTACAATGAACGCTAGCTTATTGAATTCCTAGTAGACATTTTCACATTGTTGTGGTTACAATGAACGCTAGCTTATTGAATTCCTAGAAGACATCATTTAGTAGC